CCTGGGGGGGCTCCCGGTGCCCGGGGGGGCCGTGCGGACCCGTCCCCGCCCCCAGGTTCGTGCAGTACAAGGCGACGTCGCTGGAGAAGCAGCACAAACACGACCTGCTCACGGAGCCCGACCTGGGCGTCACCATCGACCTCATCAACCCCGACACCTACCGCGTGGACCCGGGCGGTGCGGCGGCACCCATGGGTGCTGGGGGGCGCCCGGAACCCCCCCCCCGGGGCCACTGGGGGGCTTGCAGGGCTGCCCAAGCCGTGGGGGCACCCTGGGGTGCTCCTGGGGTTGGGGGGGAACAAAGGGCACCCCGAGGTGCTCCTGGGGTTGGGGGACCCCAAGGATGGGGTGGGGGGGACTTGGAGCTGCCCAGGGTGCCCCTCAGGGGCTGGGGACACCCCTAAGGTGCTGGTAGGGATTGGGGGGGTCACAGGCACCCCTAAAATGGGGAGTCCCAACCTCCGCCTCCTCCCCTCCCAGTGCTCCTGGACCCGGCAGACGAGAAGCTCCTGGAGGAGGAAATCCAGGCGCCCACGAGCTCCAAAAGGTGACAAATCCACCCCAAAATGAGGCCGGGGGTGTGACGCGGGGTGGGTGACGTGGCCGTGCCCCCCCCAGGTCCCAGCAACACGCCAAGGTGGTGCCCTGGATGCGCAAGACCGAGTACATCTCGACCGAGTTCAACCGCTACGGGGTGTCCAACGAGAAGCCCGAGGTCAAGTGAGTCCCGGGGGGGACGCGCACACACCCTGGGGGACCCCCCCAGCCCGGAAACACCCCAAGATAACCCCCCCGCCCCCCAAAACAACTCCTGCAGGATCGGGGTGTCGGTGAAGCAGCAGTTCACGGAGGAGGAGATCTACAAGGACCGTGACAGCCAGATCGCCGCCATTGAGAAGACCTTCGAGGACGCCCAGAAAGCCGTGAGATGGGCAGCGGGGGGGGCACGGGGCGCCCGGGGACCACCCCCGCGCTGCCCCCACTCCCATTTGTGTCCGTCCCCCCCCCAGATTACGCAGCACTACAGCAAGCCCCGCGTCACCCCCGTGGAGGTGATGCCCGTGTTCCCTGACTTCAAGGTACCGGGGCTATTTTGGGGCTGGGGGGGACACACATGGGGGTGGGGACCCCCCCTCTGCAAAGAGGGGGCCCCCCAGCAAAGAGGAGACCCCCCAGCAAAGAGGAGACCCCCCTCCCCAATAACAAGGGGGCTGCGAAGCTCCCCATTGGTGGGGGGCAACAGGGGACACAAAATTGGGGCTCCCTTTGCAAAGCGGGGGGAGGACTGGGGGGGTGTCAGTGTTGATTTGGGGGCAGTTTTTTGGGGGGGGGCGCTTGGTGCCACCCTTTTGTGTCTCCGCCCCCCTCCCCAAAAAACCAAGATGTGGATCAACCCGTGCGCCCAAGTGATCTTCGACTCGGACCCGGCGCCCAAGGACACGAGCGGCCCCGCGGCGCTGGAGATGATGTCGCAGGCCATGATCAGGTGACGGGGACCCCGGGGGACACCGGCGGCGGGGGGACACCCCTTAACCCACCCCCCCACCACCCCGGGGCCGCCCGCAGGGGGATGATGGACGAGGAAGGCAACCAGTTCGTGGCCTATTTCCTGCCCGTGGAGGAGACGCTGCGCAAGCGCAAGCGCGACCAGGACGACGACGTCGACTACGCGCCCGAGGACGTGTAGGCGGGGACGCGCGCGGGGGGGGGGACCCCCCGACGGGGACGCGGGGACCCCCCGGGCGCCCCGGTGATGCGCCCCGCGCCGCAGGTACGACTACAAGATCGCGCGCGAGTACAACTGGAACGTGAAGAACAAGGCGAGCAAGGGCTACGAGGAGAACTACTTCTTCATCTTCCGCGAGGGCGACGGCGTCTACTACAACGAGCTGGAGACGCGGTGCGGG